TTCCTCCTGAACTCACAAACAACAAGAAGGGTGATGCAGACAGCAGCAGCAGTATCAGCAGTTCTGTGTGGGTGCGTGTGCCACTACTGATTGTGGTTACACTGGCCTGTATTCTTGTCTGCCGATTGTAATGGTGGTGGTGTGGTGTGACTCAGGTCATCCTTTGTTTTCTTCCTTTTTTGCATGCAACCCTACAGTCTAACTAATTTTCCACCTGTTGGTATTATCTTTTTTGTGTTTCTTAATGTTATTGTGTTTTATGTGTGTTTTTGCTGTCTCTGTGTTTATCCTATAATAATTATTATTATTGCTACTCCATTGTGTGTGTGTGTGTTCTCGGAGACTCTCTCTATGTGTGTGCCTGGGCTTGCACTGTGATGATGATAAACTGCTTTTTTGCAGTGGGAAAAAGAAAAGGAAATAATAGTAACAGATGAATTTATATTTATAATTGCTTATATACACACATATATAGACTTACACCCATAGTTGGTGTATATTTCTGTGTTTAGTGGGTAAATTGGGCTAATGGTTAATATCTGTTTGTTTGCTTCTGGTTTGCGTGGGTCGTTTTGTGGGTTTGGTCCCTCTTTCTTATTGTAGCCTGCTTAGTACAGAACGAAAGCATAATAACAGTGGTACATACATATATTTATTGTTACAAATGATCCTTTAAGTATATCCCTAGTTCTCTGAATTCTTTGTTTGATGATGCCGTTGGTTTTTTGTTACTGGATTTCTCAGACATATGGTGTGATGTTCCTATTTATTGGACTCTTTATTTTTTTTTGGTGTTAATGTTTTTTGTGTGTGATGCGTTTTGTTGTGTTGCCATCCTCTATGCGTCTCTGTTTGATCGGTTTTTTTTGTTTTGTTTTATTTCTTCTTTTTTATTTCTAATGGTTTGGATGTAGAAAGCAAGGAGAATAACTTTTATTGAAATGCTTCTTCGCTGTTTGTTGTGTGTGTCAGCTTTGCTTTTAAGTATTGCTTCTGTTTGTGGGACGGCTGAGGTTGTTCTTCATTCCACCGAGTCTTCTCTTGATGAATGTACTACCAGTAATGTTGATAGAGCTGCTTGTCATCCTCCTTCTGGTGTTGTTACTTCTGAGAGAGATCAATGTGTTCCCACAGAAGATAATCTTAAATGCAAGACTACTACCAAAGACAAAAAAGGGAAGCATCAGCCTTCTGATGAACTTGAGACAGAGAAGGTTGCATTGAAGGATGAAGATCGGGCTCAAGGGCTAGGTAGAGAAAACAGAGATCTTGAATTGACTAGGCAATCATTAGAAGGTGATCATATGGATTCGAGAGCGAGAGTTTCAAGTGCTGCAGAAGATCATACTTTTAATCAACTAAATACACAACACAATGACAGCCAGGTTGGAGGACAACTGTCGCCTACTGCTGCAGAATTATCTCACAGACCCAACCTTGACAGTGCTGTTGTACAGGTTCCGGGTTCCAAACCTAAAGGAGCTCAAAATACGGGGAAGGATGTAACTAAAGACACTAGTGAAACTCTGAGGACAACAGAACAAAATGCAAAACTTACTGAAGAGGAAAATGAAAAACAGGAAAATATGGAAAATAAGGCAGATCAATCTACCGATGTATCATCTGAAGAGGCCTCTGATGATTTACAAAGACCTAATGCGCAGGAACAGGCAAAGCCTCCATTGGTCCCACAAGAAGCCCAGCGGAATGATCACAATTCTCAAGGAAACACTGCTAATGGTGGAACTAACTCTACCCAAGAAGGTACAGTCCAAGAATCTTCATCATCTCCAGAAACTCCGGAGAAACCCTCACTAGAGGAAAGTGAAGGGACAAAAGCAGCCGAGACCACAAATGCTAAGAATGGCAGTACACCTGAAGGAATTGAATCAACAGGAAATACAGGTGACATGGTAAATACAGACACCACCACAACAACAACACTTCCTCCTGAACTCACAAACAACAAGAAGGGTGATGCAGACAGCAGCAGCAGTATCAGCAGTTCTGTGTGGGTGCGTGTACCACTACTGATTGTGGTTACACTGGCCTGTATTCTTGTGTGCTGATTGTAATGGTGGTGGTGGTGGTGTGACTCAGGTCATCCTTTGTTTTCTTTTCTTTTTTTACTTCCATACATCCACCCTACAGTCTAACTAATCTTTCTACCTGTTGGGATTATCTCTTCTTTTTTTTGTTTCTTAATGTTAATGTGTGTTTTGTGTGTTTTTGCTCTCTTTGTTTATCCTATAATTATTATTATTGCTACTCCATTGTGTGTGTGTGTGTTATTGGAGACTCTCTCTGTGTGTGCCTGGGCTTGCACTGTGATGATGAACTGCTTTTTGCAGTGAAAAGGAAGAGAAATATTAATAATAACAGATGAATTTATATTTATAATTGCGTATATATACACATATATAGAATTACAGCCATAGTTGGTGTATATTTCTGTGTTTACTGTGTGAATTGGGCTAATTGTTAATCTGTGTTTGTTTGCTGTTGATTTGGCGGGTCATTGTGTTTTTTCTCCTGCGGCAGTGATGCTGATGAGTGCTTGGAAAAATAAGGTTGTAAATGAGAAATATAGTATTAATTGAATATTAACACACACATACTCACATTTGTGTTTGATTTGGTGTTTTGTGCTCTTAATTTCTGTTTTTTTTTTGCTTGGGTGTATGTGTTGTTACTTTATTCTTTTTTTATGTTTTTAGTATATTTTGACTGCTTGTTTTTGTTTTGCTCTTTTCTTTTATTTATTCTTAGTGTGGGACTATTTTTTGTTGTTCTTTCTTTGTTTCTGCTTTTTCCAGTTAATTCGTCCAAATCAAGAAAAAATATTTTCTGTGATGGTGCTTCGTCCTTTGTTTTCCATGGTTTTGCTGCTAAGCATTGCATGTGTGGGGGTGGCTATTGGAGAGACTTCTGGCCCTGTGGTAGGTACTCACCATTCTTCGGGGCATAATGGTGAAACAGGCCCTCAAGGTCCCCCTGGTCCTCCTGCTGCGCTTCCTCGTTCTCCTGGTCCTTGTCCTAATGCTGCTGATGGTGCTAGTAGTGCTCGTTGTCCTTCTGACAGTGCTACGCCTTCTTGTCTTCCCACCACTGGTTCTGCTGGTACTATAACTGAATGCACTCCAACTTCACCAAAGGAACCAGCTCCAACTTCACCAAAAGAACCAGCTCGCATGGGAGACGTTGATGAAGCTTCTGCTAGTGAACGTCCTGTTTCTGATACTGATGCACGAAATAAAGATAATACTGAAGCCGCTCCAACTCTTGCGAAAGACAAACAAGAAGATCTGGATATTAAAGCTGAAAAACGGCCTGATGCTGTTCCTTCTCTTGCTACTTCTCTACCTGCTGCTAAACCTGATACGTCTACTGCTGAAGGGGATGGTGATGTGAATGCAACTAACGGTCAACCTGAAAGCAACAGCAACACTGCAGAAGGAAATGTCACCCCAGAAACCTCTTCTCCCAACAGTTCAAACACAGTGAGTACCATTAATTCTGATACTGCGAATACTGAAAATGGGACTTCGCCTGCAGAGAATGAATCAACAAGTACCCAAGAAGGTGTTGCAGATAATACAGATTCCACCACCACCACCACAACAACACCAACACTTCCCCCTGAGACTGCAAACAACAAGAAGGGTGATGCAGACAGCAGCAGCAGTAT